TATTAGTATCAATACATCCATACTATACCATATATTTATGTTTGTGATGAATCCTGAGACATTTTACAGATTCATAGCAAATTGTGTTCACTAAATCTTACTTGGGTAGGAAAATGGGCTCCTATGTTAAAGAGATTTCCAATAAGGAAATAAAGTTTTTTTCCCCCTGCTTATTCATCAGTGGATCAGAAGATAAGTAGTGGATAGGTCATCACCCAAATATTCTAGAAGATGGGTTAAGCGTCAACCAAATTCTTTCAGCATAATTCTCATTCAGATAGGGTACAACCTGATTTATTTTGCTACAGGTACTTAAAAGTTAGGTGGGTCATCCCAACCAAATCACCAACCAGCCTTGACTTAACCATTCACTTCTCACTGCCCAAAAAGATTTCCAGGAACTTCTTTCACCTGTTTCTGCATTTAGCAACTAGGATATAGTTGTCCCCAAATTTATCTGTTTATTCAGTCATCCATTGGATGTTTACTGAATAGCTACTATGAACCAGGTACTGTAGCTGGTGACACAGTGCTGAGCAGAATCAGAGCTAGGACTTGTCTTCATGTATTAATAGTATACAACTTTACTAACTGTGACAAGTTCTTACATGTCATCAATAGTAGTGCACTGACTAAAGGGCAAGAAGGCTGGAATTTGTATGGCATGGCAGAGGGCCTCCAAGTAATAGTGATCTATGATTTTTTTTAAAAAAGGAATAAAACATAGTAATTCTTGACCAACAACCCAGAAGCTATTTATTAATATTTGAGATCTTTTATATGTTCTTTGGAGTACCAAGCAAATATTCCCCCCAGTACTGTATGCTGAGAAGTTAGCATTTGCAGCTTTTACCCTGAACTTCCAGTAAGAAGAGCTAGAAAGGAGCTTTGAGATTAATAGGACTCAAGCTTTTTTCAAACTCAGTGCACCTAAGGATAGTAATGCACATAATGGCCCACTCCTGACAATGATGGGGTGGAAGTAGGAGATCATGCAGAATTATAATCTTGGTGGGAGAGACAGGAAGAGATGAATGTTGTTTAAGAACCTGGGTCATTCTGGGACTTCCCTGTTGGTCCAGTGGCTAAGACTCTATGCTCCCAATGTTGGGGGCCCAGGTTCTATCTCTGGTCAGGGAACTAGATCGCACATGCCACAGCTAAAGCTCCTGCATGCTGCAACAAAGATGGAAAATCCTGCATGCATCAACTAGGACCAGATGCAGCCAAATAAACAAAAATATTTTTTAAAAAGCTGGGTCATTCCTATAGAAGCCCACCCAATCTGATTCCCAGTGTAATGTTCCTTTAACTGCACCAAATTACTAAATTCAATGAAACAAACCCAAGGTTTAGTAATAAAACGTGGTTTTACAATGTCTACATGCTGTAAAACAGGTTGTGCTTGCTTGTGCTGTGCTTAGTTGCTCAGTCGTGTCCGACTTTGTGACCCCATGGATGGTAGCCCACCAAGCTCCTCTCTCCATGGGATTCTTCAGGCCAGAATACTGGAGTGGGTTGCTGCGCCCTCCTCCAAGGGGTCTCCCACATTGCAGGTGGATTCTTTACCATCTGAGGCAACAGGGAATCCCAAGAATACTGGAGCAGGTTGCCTATCCCTTCTCCAGGGGATCTTCCTGACCCAGGGATTGAACCCAGGTCTCCTGCATAGCAGGCAGATTCTTCACCAGCTGAGCTACCAGGGAAGCCCATAAAACAGGTTATGGGGTCTCATAAAAGGTTCAAACCAATCTAAAGATTCAATAATCCTACTTGTCTTTGAAGCTTTGGTTTTAAAACAAAAAATAATTCAAAGATGATAATGAAGGTTCTGGGAAACCAGAAAATAAATCACCCCGCCAAGTCCACCAATGTAAAGAAAAGCACAGGGTTTGGTGTGTGTGTGTGTGTATGTGTGTATGTTCAGTTGCTAAGTCGGGTCTGACTCTTTGTGACCCCATGGACTGCAGCATGCCGGGTTTCCCTGTCCTCCATCTCCCAGAGTTTTTTCAAATTTGTGTCCATTGTGTTGATGATGCCACCCAACTATCTCATCCTCTGTCGCCCCCTTCTCCTCCTGCCCTCAGTCTTTCCTGCCATCAGGGTCTTTTCCAGTGAGTCGACTCTTCGTACCAGGTGGTCAAAGTATTGGAGCTTCAGCTTCAGTGGGTGGGTATTACAAGTAATGGATTATTGTCAAAATGTCACAGTACCTTCCATTTGGCCCACTGTTTCTTGAGTAGAGGCGGAAAGAAAATGAATCATTTTCTTTCAGGATCAAGATCCAGGAAATTTAGTGTTGGTTGTAGTTCTAGCTCTTGGTGTTTGATCATCTGTAAAATGGAGATGATTTCTGCCCTCTTAATGGCTACAATGGCGAATGAATGTAAAAATTTATAAAGTGTGGTATTCTACTTTTGGAGAACCTATGTCTGCTGATAATTGATTCAGTATTTTTTTCTCTCAACTGGGGATTCCTTTTAATTAAACTTTCTATTTTGTATTGGAGTTTAGCTAATTAACAATGTAGTGAGTTTCAGATGGACAGCAAAGGGACTCAGCCATAAATATGCATGTATCCATTCTCCCCCAAACTCCCTTCCCATCCAGGCTGCCACATAACATCGGGTGGAGTTTCCTGTCCTATACAGTAGGTCCTTGTTAGTTATCCATTTAAAATATAGCAGTGTATACATGTGTGCATTCTCAGTCACTCAGCCATGTCCGACTCTTTTGCAACTCCATGAACTGCAGCCTGCCAGGCTCCTCTCCCCATGGGATTCTCCAGGCAAGAATACTGGAGTGGGGTTGCTGTGCCCTTCTCCAAGGGATCTTCCCAACCCAGGGGTTGAACCCACATCTCCTGCATTGCAGGTGGACTCTTTTGAGCCATCAGGGAAGCAGTGTCCATCCCAAACTCCCTAACTATCCTTTCTTCCCATCCTTCCCCTCAACCAGGTATTCTTAACCTTTGTAGAAGTCATACATCCCTTTGAGAATCTGACGAAAGCTACAAAACCCTCTTGCCAGAAAAATGCACATTAAAATGCATTCAATTTTAGGCAGTCAGTACAACTGAAAAGTTATAGTCATACACTGCCAAGTGAGGAGCTCCCATATTATATCAAACCTTGCTAACAGAAGAATCTGGGGGCTTGATCGTGTAAAACGATATGGAAACAAAAAGCAGAAAACATTGCCATGTAATGAATTCAATGTAGTTGGTATAGTTATATTGGGAAATCAAAACACTAGGGTCAACTAAATTGTTAAGTCAGAGATTATGAAGTAAAATGTACAATTATCTTGAATCTCAAAGAACCACACTGATAAGGCAGACTCCCTCCAATAAATAGGAATGTAATTTTTTCCACTCTTTTATTTATCTATTGTTTCCATATTATATTCTCAGTTAAGCTCTACTATTAAAATTGTCATCTTTCCTGAGTTCATTTTGAACATAACTGTAAAACCTGCTGAACTTGAATCAGTTTCATCTCTACTGGGTTTCCTATAGGGAACATGAAACAATCTGATCAATATCTGAGGCCATCAATACCCTCAGTTTCAGTGATTGAAATGTTAAGCCACTTCATTTAAAATGCCAAAAGGGAGTTCCCTGGTGGTCCAATAGTTAAGACTCCACAGTTCCAATGCAGGGGGTGCAGGTTGGATCCCTGGTCAGGGAACTAAGGTCCCAAGTGTCACATGATGCAGGCAAAAAAATAAAATGGAATAAAATGCCAAAGGCCTACAAATTACATGAGGCTTGGTTCCATCTGTATTGTTTATTAAAGAATTAAGATGAGTTTTCTTTTATATTCATAAAACTTACTACCTCAGACAAAAAGACTCAGCACTTTTGAATACCTTCAGTCCTAACAAGCTCTATTAGATACAACTTTACTCTGTTATCACACTAAAAACATTAGAAAGAAATTATTTCCCATCATCAATTCTATTTCTCGCATTCAATAAACAAAGTCTAGTTCTATAAGAATATGCTTCCCTGATTAATAATTGTAAAGCTCAACACTCAAAATACTTATGTAAAAGGGTTTGCATATAAACAACACATTTGTGTTTACAAAACTCGTTTTAGATACCAGTCATTAAGTTTCTGACCCCAAATTAATTGAAGGTTGTGGACTCACTTGGATTACTTATTTCAAGCAATATTTGCAGCATAAAATTCAAATAAAAAATAATTAGAAGAGTCACTTGGAGTTCATTAGATTTTATGGCTAGTAATCATTTAAAATGTTTCCCTAAATTGAGATCAAGTTTATACTTATTAATTTTCTTTTCCTCCAATTTAATTAGCAATTCAGAAGATTTTTACATATTTTAAGTGCAGTTCAAGCTTCACTAATTTTACTGACTTTAGAGCTACCAAAAATTTAAAAAGTATCTTTATAAAGCCTTTAAAGGCTTAAGTGAGTATCTAACTGATGTGAAAGAAGAATCAGGAGATTCAGCATTTTATTTTTTTAGCTGCTGAAATACAAATCAAAATTCGTAACAAACTTGACATTCTTTTCAGTATGGTGTGATTTAATATAGGTAGTTTAAAATTTTCTTTTTAAAAACAATACATTTTACTTTGGAGGGAAACAGCTCATTAAAAAAGACACTGGTACCCAAGTGATTATATTTCATTATTTTAGTGTTTATGAATGCCAAACTTGGACAGAATCCCCGAACCGAAAACTTGGTCCTCACAAGATGTAAGTATTCCTCCGATAACAAAAACAAATTAAACCGTACTGTCGGAAAAAACAGAAATATGTGGCATAGGCTTCTGAGTGATCTTGAAAAACGAGTTACAATGTGTTTCAACTGTATGGAGGAACATTCTGGCATCTACCTAGAAACATTTGGCAAAACAATTGGCCTGGTGCTACTGGGGTTGTTCTGCCTCAAAGGGGGATAGAAGGTGCGTGATAGGGTGCTTAAGACTCACAACAGCCACAGAATCACTTGCACAGAATTAACCAAAATTCAATACAGAATAATATAAAAGAGTAGAACAATGTCAACAGTTATTCAATGCCTGGAAAGCAAGTTGTAAGCTAAGAACAAATAACTCGGCAGGAACAATAGTAAACATGTTTATAAGACTTGGGAGATGAAAAAACTTCATCATTCATAGATGATGTCTTGTGCACAAGTACATTAGTTACCAGTACATTAGGGAACAGCCACAAAACTAACAAAGTAAGACTAAATCCAAGCTGCTTAGCTTTCCACCATTCTCTTGAGTATTAAACCCAGCCCACCTTTGGCCACTTGCAGGGGTGTTTTTTCTTCTTTATTCTCAATGTAAATGCTTGCTCCTTGGGACACCAGCAATTTTGCTTCTTCCACTCTCTCTTCATCACAGGCTAAGTGTCTGAAATGAAGGGCCACAGAGATTGATTAATCATTTCCAATTCTATGTAATGGTTAGGAGTTCTTGACAGGTAGTCTAAACAGCATATGGTCGTGTGATGTTGGAAAGTTATTTAATCTTGAAAGGAAAATTTATTTCCATGGAGAAGAGTGTTTCTAAGTTAAAATTCAGTGGAATATAGCTTTATAATCTCAGATCATAAATAACAATTCTGACCCTATTACAACAAAAGTTATCTAAATGCCAGCCTAAGGAACAATGCCCTCGTTTTATGGAGATTAGTAAGTTATACCAAACACATATAATAATTCTGGGTTAGAATTTAGAAAAACCTCTATACATAATCTGCTAATAGAAACTTGTGTGGTTTAAATATTGGAAAAGCAGTCTATAAAAATTTTTATATCATCTAATTTTTATAGGCACTTTGTAGGTTAACAAGGTATTATTGTCACCATTTTACAGTTGAAATTGTAACAGAGGTTAAAGTCTTTGTATGTGATGACGACATGGCTGAGCAGTGAGTTGGGCAGGGGTGGGGGGGGACCTTGTGAGGCACTTAACAGTTTCCCGGGTAGAGTACTATACACTTAACATGTTATTTTATTTAACCTTGGGGAGGAAGGAATTTTACACATCTCATATTACAGATAAGAAAATTAGACTCAGGAAAGTTAAGTAACTTCTCCAAGTTATTTAATGCAAGTATTTAATATAGCTGTTAAGTGGCTGAGTTTGGATAGGGCAAATAACATCTAACTATTCCTTAATCTTTGGCTCTTCCCAGGACCCAACACTGCCTGTGACTCCTAAATTTCCTCCAGGCCACCCCCCCCCTTTCTTATCTGGAGAAAAGGGCTAGAACATGCATGTTTTTCTAAATAAAGCCACTCAGAACTACAGAGAAAAATTTTAAAACAGAGTTAAAAAAACAATACTTTTAAGAAAATTGAATCTTACTCTGGACTAAAAAGAAGACTCATAGAATTTCTGGTTCAAAAAAGTCACCATATAATAAGGAATAAAAGTAGCCAAGTACTGTAGAAGAAATATTAAGGTAGAGGATGGCTTCAGGTCATACATAATCAATGCCAGATGCATTTGAGTTAAATGAAAAACAGTAACTAAACCAAACCAATGCAATGTTTTTTTGTAAAACAGTAATAAAATACAGGTGACTTAAGTGTACATAGTATAATCAGTGTTAGTCACTCAGTTGTGTCTGATTCTTTGTGATCCTGTGGACTATAGCCCACCATGCTCCTCTGTCCATGGGATTTCCCAGGCAAGAATACTGGAGTGAGTAGTCATTTCCTTCTCCAAGGGGATCTTCCCAACTCAGGGATCAAACCTGGGCCCCTGCATTGTAGGCAGATTCTTTACCATTTGTGCCACCAGGGAAGCCCAATAGATATAAAGAAACTGGATCTGCAATGAAAATGCCTGAGTTCTTGATTGTAGTGTGTGAAAGTATATTAGTTGCTATGTCGTGTCCGACTCTTTCAACCCCATGGAATGTAGCCTGCCAGGCTCCTCTGTCCATGGAATTCTCCAGGCAAGAATACTGGAGTGGGTAGCCATTCCCTTCTCCAGGGGATCTTCCTGACCCAGGGATTGAACCTGGGTCTCCTGCATTACAGGCAGATTCTTTACCATCTAGGCCACCAGGAAGCCCCAAAATACAGGTAAATATTTATCTAACTTCAGGGTGAGGAAGCACTTTCTAGCTATGAGGGAAGATTAATAGATATGACTATACAGAAGTTGAAAACTTCTGTTATTTCAAAAAAAATAAAATTTAAAGACAAACTGGGAAAACATTTTCAACTATCATGGAAGAATGTTAATATTTGTACTATGTCAAGGATACGCAAATGAATCAGTAAAAATAATTTTCCAAAAGGAAACAGAGAAAGGGATATAGAAAGCTATAATTTAGAGAAGAAATATAGTCATAGGCACTAAAAATGTTTAGCTTCCTTGATAGTAAGAAAATGCAAGTTACAACTCTGAAACACCATTTTTCCTATAAGAAAAGGATATTTTTTGTGTTGGAGAGGGGTAATAGGCACTCTTCAACTGCTGTTGGAAGGAGGCAATAATACAACTTCTCTGAAAGTAATTTGGGAATATACAGCAACTGTTTTAAAATGTGTATCTGTTGACCCAACAATCCTAGTTCTACAGTAAGATACTAATCAGCAATATGGCCAAAGGTTTTCATATAAAGTTTGATCAATGCAGCATTATTTATAATAGTGGAAAACTCAAAAAAGCTTAAATATACAGTAATAGAGGAATTATTAAATTCTGGCACATCCATAAAATAGCGTTGTGTATAGGCATTCAAAATCACTTTAGAAATATTTATTAACATTGGAAAATGCTTACAGTATGAGGTAAAAAGCATAAGATATGAAACTACATACACAATATGGTTCCAATTTAAAAAAAAGTGTACGTAAAGTATGCATATTTACATATAAAAGACAGGGAGGAAATACATTAAAATGTTATCAGTGGTTATTTCCAGGTGGCAAGCTGATAGGCACTTTGAATTTTTATCTTTATACTTTTATGTATTTTCAATTTTTTTGGCCATAAACATGTATTATAAGCAGAATTTAAAAAAATAATGTGTAAGAAGTAGTGCAAGAGGGCTAATGTCAGGTAGAATACAAATGACTGCTACTCGTCACTTACAGAGGAGTGTTACCCTCAGTGTCTTGGATGTTTGTGGAAGCTTTGTAGTACAGAAGAATATGAATCATCTTCAAGTTACCCTTGGCTGCTGCCCGGTGCATTGCTGTGGCCTCATAATGGTCCTTAGCGTCTGGATTAGCTCCACCTTCCAGTAACATCACAGCAATCTGGGAAGATGTAAAAGAAAACAATGCAGATATCTGTTAATATTTGTGTTTGCGTAGAGGTTTAGAACTCAAAAGAAGAAGCCTAGGAATGGAACCCTACCTCATGCCTGTTTTTGGAAGCTGCATAATGTAGGGGAGTACAGCCATTTTGATTGACAGCATTCACTTGAGCACCTTTTCCCAGAAGGGCTTTGACAATCTCATCTCGGCCAGCAGAAGCAGCAATATGAAGAGGAGACCAACCTGCCTGTAAAAGAGGTGGACAGAACACAAACAAGGCAGAAAAGTCACAGGGATTAATGCCAACATTAAGACAGGGTTTACAGAGCTGTGTATGAATGGTTTTAAAAAAATATATTCTTTCTCTTTCCCTCATTAAGCACTGCAGGATATTTGGAAATCAGATACATACAAAAGAAAAACATCCATAATTCTGTAACATGGAGACTACCGAAGTCTAACTCTAATGTGTTTTTAAATAGGGATCATAGGATATCAAGCTCCGTTAAGCTGTATTTTCCACAATTTCCACTTATCATCATGTTGTAGGAATTTTTCTGTCATTCTTTGGAATCATAACTTTATTGACTGCATACTATTATGTGGATATACATACTGTACTCAACTGTTCCTCCATTATTTTTCTTTTTTTTGCCATTAAGAATATTATTTCCTCAAGATCCTTGAAAAGGAACCTGCTTATAAAAAGTTTTCACCCTTATTCTTCAGAAAGTGAAAGTGAAAGTCACTCAGTTGAGTCCGACTCTTTGCGATCCCATGGACTATACAGTCCATGGAGCTCTCCAGGCCAGAATACTGAAGTGGGTAGCCGTTCCCTTCTCCAGGGGATCTTCCCAACCCAGGATCAAACCCAGGTCTCCCGCAGTGCAGGCAGATTCTTTATCAGCTGAGCCACAATAGAAGCCCAAGAATACTGGAGTGGGTAGCCTATCCCTTTTCCAGCAGATCTTCCCAATCCAGGAATCGAACCGGGGTCTCCTGAAAGAAGTCTTACCCTAATATAACTAGTACTATTGCACTAAATCTCTATATAACAAAAAAGGTTCTAGGCCCTCATTCTAATATCTAGGCACTATTCACCAAAAAGCTTTTAACATAATAAAAAAGGGTTTGTAGTCTCTTAGAGGTCATTGCAATAAGACTTGATCTGCATGCTTACCTTAAATTACAGGCTATGAATGGCAAAATTAACATTCTGAAATAATGCTACCACCAGTCCTGTATTTGGTCACTGGTGCCATGCTGCAACTTCCTAGTCATAAAGGTTAAAATTTGTTTGTGACTTTAATTCTTGGGCTTCAGTAAACACCAGTCTGGACTCTAAAGATAACAGGGAATTTATCAACTCTGCGTAGTACTCACATCATCTTTATCATTCACTGGCACTCCAAGTTGCAACAAGAATTCAACAATTTCTGTATGTCCAGCTGAGCATGCCCAATGCAATGCTGTTCTGCTGTCCTACACGGGAAACAGAGAAGCAGTAAAATCAACATTCTTGAAAAGAAATAGAAGAACTAAGACAAGAAAGCAGAACATATTAATCCTGAGCCAGTGAACATACGGTTTGGAAACAAGAAATGGAGAGGACTGGATCCTCAGGTAGGTAACCTTAAACTACATTACTTATATACGAGAGCCTAAGGTTTTAGTACCATGCAGAGAATACATTGATGAATGTAGGTAATTCTGGGTAGAATAGACCCATGAAAGCAATAGAGCAAAAAACTTACTTCAGTGCTTTAGCAGCAATAGAGCTTTGGCTATGTACATATTTTTATGTCAGGCACTGTGCTAAAAATTTTACATCTATCATCTCCTGTAATCCCCATGATCCTATATAGTATATATTATCCCCATTTTACAGATTAGGGAACTAAGATTCCTCAAGGTAAGCAGCTTGACCAAGGTCACATAGCTAGCAAATGTTAGGACACAAGCCTGAATTTTCTAGATGCTCTAGAAAGAACAAGTGAATCTTATGGAAAGGAAATGTTCATAAAACTAGTTGAGATTCTGTATATAGCCATTTTAAAAACATACTACACACAGAATTAGAAAGCAACATTATTTTAAAAAATAAGCTAGAAAGGAGTTAAGTCATGTCTCTCAAAAAGAATTTCTTGCTCTTATTTTTTTTTTGCAGTGACTGCTATATTTCTTAGCTCTGTGTAAAAGAAAACAGTATTATAAGCTTTATTACAAAAATTTCAAACTCATATAAAAATAGGCCAATCACCTACATTGTACAAATGTTTTCCAACATTTGCTTCATGTTTTTTTTCTTAAAGAGATTTTAAAAAACAAATCTTAAATATCATGACTTTTCATCCCTAAATATTTGAGCATCTAAAAAACACTTTGTTGTTTAGTCCGTAAGTCCTGTCCAACTCTTGTGACTCCATGGACTGTAGCCTGCCAGATTTCTTTGTCCATGGGATTTCCCAGCCAAGAATACTGGGTTGCCATTTCCTTCTCCAAAAAAATACTTTACTACATAGCTATTACACTGCTTAAAATTAACTCTAACTCCTTTATAACATCAAATACCCAGTCTGTATTCAGATTTCCCCAACAGTACCCCAAATGTCTTTTTGCAGTTAGCTTGTTTTCAATCAGGATCCATACAAGCCACAAGTTGCAACAATTGTTTAAGTCTTTTGATCCTGAATAGTTTCTCCCTTTTTTTATGCCATTGACTTGATGAAGAATGGTTAGAAGTATTATTAAATCTTAATTTTGTTAAATTAAATCTAAAGTATTAAACACTACCAGACCAAACTAAAGGCAAACTAGGCAAAGGGATTTTTCAGGTTGAGCAACAAAGGAAAGTTCCAGAGAAGTCTCCCGACTTCTAATTCTCTTCCCAAACACACAAAATGGAGATTTTTAATTATGTGACACTGTCTTGCTAGTGCTTAGCACGGTGCCTGTCAAACAGGAAGCAATCTATAAATGTTTGTTGGCTTACTGAGGGCACCATGAATCTTTCTAGAAACTCAGGGTGAAAGCATGAGGGTTCCTTAAGTAAGAGAGCAGAAAGAAATATTTCCCAAGGTCCACTCTCTTTTGTTTCCCTTCTGCCTAAACTGCCCATTCATCCTCCAGGAAAACCTCTCTCATTCTTCAAGATACAGTCGATCTTCCCTCCTTTGCAAAATCTTTAGGGTTACAACATTCGGCTTTTCTAAGCCAGATTAAATCAGGTCCTTCCATGATATGTTCTGAAAGCACCACGTCAACTTCTCTCCCGAAGAATACCACATTTAGAATCAGACATATGATTTGGGATTATTTTATACACGTCTGCTCCTTCCAGTAACTGCCTGACACACAAGAGGCGTTCAGTTACACATGTTGCCTCGAATAAAATCACTAATAAAAGCAAAGAAATCCATTTCAAAAATTCAAAAACTTTCCTTCTCACAGATGCCTCAAAGATTGGGCATTTCTGAGAAATGAGCTAAACGTTCTAGAAACATCCAAAATACAGCGAGCTAAGTACCGGGCCAAAGGGGGGGCGGGGGGACGACATTGGCGGTTTGCGGGGCTAGATCGTGCCGCTCTATCCCGAGTCCTGAGGTGACCCAGGGGTGAGGATAGGGAGGCGGGGGCGGGAATCCCGCCCTCTCGGAACCGGCCTCCCCCTGGACTGGGCAGGGCTGTGCAGCCACGTTGTCTCCGCCGCCGCCTGCGGAGAGGGTCCAGCGCTGCTTTACCTGGTCAGTCCTAGTGGCCAGGGAATTATCCGCCAGGATCCTCTCCTTTAACTCCTCCAGCTTCCCGGTGTAGGCCAGGTTGCAGACCATTAGGTTAGACACACAACCCTCCATTTCGCTTTCCCAGGATCACGGCGCAGCCGGATCCACCACCTCCTCACTTCGCAGGCTCCGAGTGCCAATCACAAGAGCCCGTAGAGCTCCACCAATCACCATCCTCTCGTCTTCCTTTGCTTTTCCCATCGCAGGGCGCCTCTGGGAATTGCAGTCTGAGCGCAGCTCCGGGCAGGGAGGTGCCTTCGCCACTCTGCCTGACTCTGCCCCTAGCGGCGCGGAACTACGAGTCCCAGGGTCCCTTGCGGCCACCGTAGTCAAGTGGCCGGTGGAATTGGCCCAGGATGACAGCTGGAGAATGGAGTCAGGTATGGGGAGCGGCTTCGTGTAGAACCGGGGTGGGTGGTCGCTGCTGGGGCACTAAGTCGGTGACGCGAAATGGGTGCGGGGTCATGGCAAGAGAGTTATGGGAGCCAAAAAGTCCTGTCCTGGGGGCCCTGACCTCCAGTGGTAAGCGGAAGGGAAGACGGTAAGCAGCTGAGTATTACCTCCTGAGCTCGAGCCAGTGCCTGTGGCCACCCTCCCCATCGCTCCTGCTGCTGCCAAAGGATTGGAACGAAGTAGGGGTTATTTATGCTGACATTTCGGTGGAGTGGCATTAGGGCAGAATTCTGCCACAACAGTGATAGCATATGACACTAAGGTGATGTGCCAGGGTGATGCCAAAGGCAGGGTGTGATGCCATAGGAGCCACTTGATAGCTAAGAGATCTCACGGAGTCCATGGCGTGGTGACATAACAACTTGAGGGTCATCTTGACTCTGTCTATAGTGTTGACTCTTTAATATCACCATAATAAAGGTGACATCGAGGTTTTGCTAGACTATTAAGCTAATAGTGTTTCTATTTATGGGAATCCTAAATAGTGCCACAGCAGAAGAGATGCACGGCTTATCCTTTATAGGGGATATCCAGACTGGCATCATACTATAGCTAAGTATGATAAGAGTATACTCCATAAAGAGACTGATTATATTTACCCTGTTATAGTGTAGAACAGGGCTTGGCAACTTTTCTGTGAAGAGCTACATAGTAAATATCTTTAGATTTTGTCAGTCAAAAGGCAAAATTATAGGATCTATACTAAGGAAGGACGGGCTTCCCTGGTGGCTCAGATGGTAAAGAATCTGCCTGCAATGCAGGAGACCGTGGCTAGATCCCTGGGTCAGAAAGATCCCGTGGAGAAGGGAGTGGCTACCCATTCCAGTATTTTTGCCTCCAGAGTTCCACAGACATGGGGTTACAAAGAGAGGGACAGGACTGAGTGACTAATATATTAAGGGCATTATGCCAAAACTAGGTAATGATAACAATACACTCAAGAAGGAGACTGATTATATTTATCCTGTAATATTGTAGAACAGAGTTCTGTAAAGAACCAGATAGTAGGCTCTGTGGGCTAAAAAACAAAATCAAAGATAATGTGTAGGTACTTATATGACAAAGGAGAAAACAAATTTCAGCAAATGTTTATTGATAAAATTCATGGTAATAATAATTGAGCGTTTATTTTAGGTGATACAGGACAACTAATGAGAATAATGGAATTCTTTGGGGGGGATAACATTTTGTTTATTTGGGGCTAATAGTATTCTCTGTTATCAAAATAGTTTCAAATGTTCATGATAATGCTCATCTGTAATGAGATTTTACACATTTCATCTTTTTAAATGTCTTTTCACACAGATAGGTATGAATGCACAAACATTCTTGTTATTTTTTAGTTAAATTTCAGAATAATGTGAGGTTTATGGAAAAATTGGAAAGATAATGCAGAATTCCTGTGTATTCCTCATCCAGTTTCCCCTACTCTTCCTTTCCTATTTTTAATAACTTTGTTAGGATATATTTTTCATATCATAAAATTCACCCATTTCAAGTGTATAGTTCAATATTTTTAGTAAATTTACTGAATGATGCAACCATAATCATGTTTTAGAACATTTTCACTTCCCCACTAAATCCCTCATACTCATTTATTTACAGTTCATTCCCACTCCCAACTCCAGGTAACCACCGATCTATTTTCTGTCGCTATAAATTTGCATATTCTGGACAATTTCATCTGAATTAAATCAAGTAAGAAGTGGTCTTTTGTGCCTATCTTCTTTCACTTAGCATATTTTTGATGTTCCTCCATACTGTAGCATGTACCAGTACTTCATTACTTTTTATTGCCAAATAGTATTACATTATATGGCTATAACACATTCTGTCTGTCTGCTTACTAGACATGTAGGTTGTTTCCAGTTTTTGGCTATTAAGAATAATGCCACTAAGGACATTGGTGTGCAAGTCTGTGTGGACAAATGTTTTCATTTTCTTTGATAGGAACATAAGGGTGGAATGACTGGATCATATGGCAGATTTATCTTTAACTTTATAAGAAACTGCAAAACTATTTTCCAAAGCGGCGGCACTGTTTTGCATTTCTGCTAGCAATGTGTGAGGATTTCTGTTTCTCCACCTCCCCACCTACATTTGTTGTTGTCTGTTTTTTTGTTATAGCCATTCAGAGTAGATGTGAAATGATATGTCTTTGTGGTTGTAATTTGTACTTCCATAAAGACTAATGACGATGAGCATGTTTTCATTTACTTATTAAAACATACATACCTCTTTTCCATTTTTAAATTGAATTATTGTCTTTACTGACTTTTTATTGTTGAATTGTAAAAATTATTTATACATTGTGGATACCAGTCTCTGTAGATACATGGTATGTGGATATTTTGTCCCACTCTTGTTACTTGTCTTTTCATTTTCTTAATGATGCAAAAATTAAAATTTTGATGATGTCTAATTTATCCTTTGTTTCTTTTATGAGATGTGCTTTTGGTGTTGTACACTTTTAAAAACTCTACATTTTATTGTTGTTAGTATTTAGAGGTGTATTTAGAGGTGTATTTAGAGGTTACCATCACCACAGTATTATTTGAAACATTTCCATTACCTTGTGCCCCTTTTCACTTACACCCCATATCCACTCACAGGCCTGGGCAACCACTAATTAATTTTTTGTCTCTATGGATTTTCATTTGGGGAGATTTCATATAAATAGAATCATACAATATATATGAATCATACAAAAATCTTTTGTGTTTAGCTTCTTTCACTTAGCATAAGGTTTCTAAAGTTTTTCCAAATTGTAGTATGTATTGATACTTCATTTTAATGGCTAAATAATATTCTGCTGTGTGACTTTCCATATTTCACTTATCCATTCATCAGTTAGTTGGCTTCTGCCTTTTGGTTATTATGAATAATGCTGCTATAAACATTCATGTACATGTTTCTGTGCAGATATATGCTTTCATTTCTCTTGGTACCTATCTAGGAGTAGAATTGCTGGGCCATGTGAAATTCTATGTTTAAATTTGTGAGGAACTGCCAGAATTTACCAAAGTGACTGTATATTTTCCCCTCCCATTAGCAATATATACTATTCTCCTCCACATCTTTACCAACACTTGTTAATGTCTATTTTTTTATTACAGCCATTCTAGTGGGTGCAAAGTGTTATCTCATTGTGATTTTGTTGTTTTGATTTGTAACAGCATGTAAACTGTATAAAGCATGTTGGCATCACTTATGATTCAAACAGTGTTAGCTGTTGAAATGACTTTCCTACTGTATAAGTTTCACATATAAGTGCTCTTTTCCCTTGGAATTTTAGGTTGAATTAATTAAGAAACATTATCAAGTCTGGAGGAGGAGCTAATATCCAGGGCCATTTGGTGTTTGGTATTAGTGGATGAAGGCAGTTTTTCCAACAGGTGAAAAAGTGTAAAAGTCATTCATACCTTCCTTACCATAAGGAAAATACAAAATGGACCTAATTTGACTTTCCGGATGTAGCTTGCTAATGGCTGGTGTATAGTGAAAGTGTCCTGTATTTAGTAGGGGTTCAATAAATATCCAGTTGATTTCAGAGGTACAGAAGGCCTGTTGTGTGGTACTCACAAAGGATTGGGTATAGTAACATTTTGCTATAATAATACATCAAGAAATTGGATTTGATTGCCAGAAACAGCTGGCGATAAACTCCAAGTGCCCCTACTTCTGAGTGACTTGTTTGGGTAACCTTTTATAGATGGTGTGTTGTGCTTTTAAATTATTTGATATGACTGGGTGGTTAGCTTTCAATTCTGAATCCCTTAAGGTCAAGGGTAAGGTATTCTTTCACTTTTTGAAAGCTGCAAGACAAATAGATCTCTAAGGGAGAACATGTCTTCTCTTTTGTTACTGTCCCCAAGTATGGAGGAACAGTGTGGTTACTGTTTATTTATCAGGAGTCAAAGGGGTGCCCTGTTAGGGATGGACTTCCTTGCTACTTGTGCAATTGAATATTCCCTTTTCTACTGGTCATCTAGAGTTTAGGTCCTAGAACAAGCCAAATCCATCATCTGGACTTCGAGAATAATATTTACAGATCACATGTGTCAGGTATTGCACTTTTCTCATTTAGTCTTTCACAACAACCCTTTGAGGGAGTTTCCATATTCCCGAGTCCCCACCTTTAAAAAAAAAAGAAAAAAAGGAGAATACAGGCACAGAGAAGCAAAATAGCATGCTTGAGGTCACACAACTTGGCAAAGGTTGGAGCTAAAATGGTAATCCAGTGCTATTCTACCCTAAAACCCTAGCACTTGACCACTGCAACATACTGCTCAGTATTGCTGAAGATAAAATTATGTGTAAATGAAAACCTCAGATAATGCAACACTAATTCCTGTCAGAGCTCTTTGGGCTGTAACACTACCTATGATTGTGGGGAAATGACGTTTTTCATGCTCTAGAGCAACACTTTTTTCTAGAGAACTTTTTGTGATGATGGAAAAGTTCTATATCTAAGCTCTTCTGATATGGTAGCCATTAGTCACACTGAACACTTGAAATGTATCTGAGAATTACATTTTAAATTTGATTTTAATTTTAAAAATTTAAATAGCTTCATATGGCTAGTGGTTATCATTTTGTGTCCAAGGTGGGAGAGGCAGGTTTCCCCTATTTGCTCCTTTCTAATTATCACTAAACATTTTACCCAGTGCAAATATTCTTTCCCTACCACAGCTGGAAATGAATATAATCTGTAGTGGAACAAACTTGAGGACA